TTTTGAGTTTTAAATAAAAATAGTGCCAGCTAAATGTCTCCATTAACCCCTTTAAAGTAAGTTGCTACTAAATGAATATTTGCCCTCTTATCTAAAGTGTTTAGAATAGCAACAACAACAACAAAAAATCTCTTCTACTTGCCATCTATTAATAATACAGGAATATAGAATCATAAGAAAATTCAGGTTAGGAAGAGAACTCAGGAAATCTCCAGGCCAACATCCTGTTCAAAGTAGTGCCAGCTAGGAAGTCAGAACAAGTTACTTGAGGCTTTATCTAGTCGTATTTTGGAAGCCTCCAAGGATGGAGGCAGCACAACCTCTCTGGGCAATCTCTTCCAACTCTTGACTGTCCTTATGGTGAAAAAGCTTCTCCATACCTTGGTACAGAAATGGATTTTAATGTATGCCTGCTGTCTCCCTGCCATGCACCACTGTGCCCTCTTCTTGATGGTCTCCTCATTAGTAGGGGAAGGCTGCTGTTAGATCCCACCAAAGCCGCCTCTCCTCTAGACTGAGCAAGCCCTCAGTCTCTCCACAAGGGGCAAGTGCTCCAGCCCCCAACCATCTTGGTAGTCCCCTGCGGAACTCCCTGCAGTTTGTCATGTCTGTCTTACAGGGAGAGCCCAAAACTGGACACAGGACCTAGATGTAGTCTAACAGGTACCAAGTAGAAGAGGATAATCACTTCCCTCACTCTGCTAGTGCTCTTTCTTAGAGGTGGCAACACAGAAAGTATAAGATATAGTTTGTCTGAGGAAATTGTGTTTAGCTGTCATTTCCAACTGAGCAAAACTAAATATGATTTAATACGTAAATATTCTCACCCTTAGTAATAATGTTCTTTTTGCCACATTCCCTTTCTACATTCTACTCTATTTTCAGCAGTTTCATTTTCACGTTCACCTGTTTTCTTTAGCATTTGCTGCTAAGCAACAAGTCTTAACTCACCCATTAAGTCCTAACCTTTTTTACCACCTACATTTCAGGGACCCAAAATAAAAATTAAGTGGTATATAAGAAGAGAGCACCATACTTTGCAGAGCCATTGCTTGAAGCTTTTTTTCTTTGATATATCACACTTCCAGTTTAAAGTAATTCAAATTTTTGTGAAATTAACTTGACAAAAATAGGGTTAGAAACCCCAGCTTCTCATCCGTGATAACTTCAAATGAATAAGCAAAGCAAATCCATTTGCTTTGATACTCCAGATTCAGGCCATGGGTATAACTACTAAGTAATCTGAAATATATAAATTATCTGAAATATATAAATTATTTTATTATTTTGAACCTTTTTCTGCCCATTTTTCTACACAAACAAGGATGAGACTACTGTACTACTTGTCCTCCCCCAGACCCTTAACTTTCGAACTAATTCCAAACAACAGCTACAAAGGAATAGACACCTCAAAAACATCAAATCCTCATGGTTTAGAAAAGTTGGTACCTAAGTCAAGTAAATTAGAGGTACCTTTAATGAAATACTGCAGAATAATTTCAACAGTTAATCAGCCAGTTAACATGGGAAGAGTGGTAACCAACATATGCACACATTTGTAACTCACAAGTAAATACAGCATATAGTGTCTCCTGTCCATTCAACAGTTAGAAGACATCGTAGAGCGCATAGCTGAGCAGTTTCAGTCACATGGGCAAAGCAGGAGATATTAGAAGAACCAGAGATGTTACAAAGGTAAGGGAATATAGCACTGCATGGCCACTATGGATATAGGAGAGATGCAAGATTACTGCAGAAGGAAATCAGAAGCGCAAAAGAAGGGCAGGGGGCCCCACTCAGCAGAAACAGGACAGAAATCTGAAGGAAAATTGGCTATGTCAGTCCTACTGTTCACAGAAAAACTTCCATTTCCTTTGTACTCAAAATGCTCGGCCTTTACATCCTCAAAACCTTCCTGCTAACTCCACAAACTAAACTGCAAAGCAAGATTTCAGGTACAGGACTGTTAAGACCATTTATAAGTTAGAGAGCACGCCATCCACCTCGTCATACCACAACTGGAATCTGCAACATCATACAAATGAAGAAGGTGAGCAAACCATTCTATTTAATTAATTTCATAATCTATGGAATAGCTGCATATATCAGATGAATGCTTAATAACTACCATAGGTATTTACTTCATAAACACAAGAAGCTGCAAGTGTGTATTTTAGAATTTTGCATCTTACCTTTCAGCGCTGAATGCAGACTCTGTGTCAATGTATATAACAGCCCCATCTAGTCCTCCCATGCTTACAGGCAGTGTAGCCAGAACACTCATCATAATACAAAATTGAGTTTTGCCACAACCTGGTGGGCTAGTTATCTGGAAGAAAAAAGATTAACAACATAAACAAGAGACATCACACTCATTTCACCCTAATTCTACTTTTAACTAAAACACATCAGCCAGAACTCCTCAAATTCTGCTCTTCCAGTTACCAAAGGAGACAGCCACAAAAAGAGAGCATGCAGCCCACAAAGAGCAACTTGCGGTTACTCTTGAATCTGTGCCTTGCAGTCAAGCTCATCCACTGAAGAATAAACAGTTCTTCTTCAGACACAGCATTATGCTTGTACTTTATTTCTTTGACATCCTTTATTACCTCTCATATTTGAGGTCCCCTGCTCTCCCCCCTCCTCTTACAAGATCTCCCCTAGACCCACATCTGGTTCTCTTCCATCTCCTCTGTGCTACCTTCTAAAATAAAGAATTAGAAGATTCACAGTTGACATTCACATAACATCAGTGGCCTTTAGAGCTGAAAAAGTCCAGAGCTAATGAGTTCACAGATGTAAATGGCTGCTTAGGAGCCATCATTACCCTGGTTACAACCAGGTCTCCCTTGGAAATCACAAGGATAATTGCTTATATCCTGTAAAGACTGAATGTTCAGTATGAACCACATATATACCAAAGACAGATTTTATCTGCCCCAGAGACTACACTCTGCTATACAGCATGTGTTCTGTCATTGGTGTTAACTCCCTATTACCATATTTCAACATGAACACCATTTAATGATCCAGACCAGCTTGCCAATTTTAAGCTTTTACCTGCGCTTACTGAAAGCCTGCTGCAGTTAAGCAGTATTCAAAAAGAGCACACTCAACTTGTGTGAAATGGTTCCAGTATGATTTTGATCCAGGAGAAAAACCACAAGGATCAAAAGAATACAATGTTTGATGAGATCCCCAGTTTCTAAGAGCAAGATTTTTCTACTAGAGATGGCAATATGCTGTTCTTTATCCACTGCAGATCTTGCAGAGATTGTAAATGAATGCTGGGCTCTGTGTTCAGATAATCATATGTTCATTACTACTACAGTGGGTCTTTAAATACAACATCACATTGTCACTGCTTCTGGGAAGGGAGATGACGACGATATCTTAAATACTAAGAGGGCTGAAAAACAGCAAATACAAAGTTGAAGTGACTTTAGGCACTAAGAACAGAGTGGTGGGGTCATTCTAATGCTAGTAGGGACTACATAATAATGCAAGGTAAAAGTAAGCCCCTCCAGGGAAGTTAAACTGCAAAATGAAGCATATCTCCTCAAAACACCTAGTACTGCCAAAACAAAGGCTTAAATACAGAGCTGTTTTTAATTAAAAAAAGAAACCTTATAACAGACAGACACTCAAAATTAAACTGATTTTTGAGCTTAAATCCACAACAGTTTGTTTTTAAGTGCAAATACCCTTTCACCACAAGATACTACAGTATTGCTATGGTTTCATTTTAAGCAGCAGCAGCAGCATGACTTGAAAATTTACAGTGAAACACCGAGGGACTGCATTAGCTACAGTCACACACCAGCTACTGTTAACAGTTGGTTAAAATCCCTTTAATCACTTTTGTTTTTAAACAAGGCCTGAAAACCAACTCATATCAGTCGATCTACTTGAAGCTTTAATGCAAGAGAAGCATTAGATGATTTTTGTTTAGAAGAACACACTGCATTTAGTGAATTACAGATCAGGAATCAGTCATATTTATGCAATTATCTGTCCTCCATCCAGTGTACTTAAATTACCAAATATCATATCAACAATAGCTGCCACATTTTAATATGAATGCAAAGCATATATAAAAATTGCAGAGGCAATACATATTCCTTAGACTGTGATAGCCAAGGAATCTCACCAGCTGTTTCTAGTTAAAAAGAAGACTTGAAATGAGTAAGGGGAGGGCATCAATCCAGTTGTTAAATGAAAACGTTTGGACAACTGTGAGAAGACCTCATAAAAACGTTTGTAGTTTCAGCCTTGCGTGGGAGGTGCATTGGAATCAACATTTATTTCAGGGGCTGCTGCAGGAGCTAATTCAGCAGAGATGATGTAAAAATGTCTGAGGATATAAGCATCATTATCAGAGAAAGACAGGGAATCTTGCAGTACGAGCTAGTACAAGGAAGCAAGCCAATGGAGCAAGAGAGAATTTCTATTCCCAAAGATAACAAGACTTCATCTTTTATCAGCATTCCCTTAAAGGTCATTAAAATGGGATTTTAAATCCACAGTGAACAATTTTAAAGAACTACCACATTTTATTGTGGTTACCACTGGTTCAGCAAGTGTTTTGAACAATACAATCTCAGTTTAAAAAAAACCTAAAATTCCTCTAATATAATTTAAATCGAATGTCTGCAAAAAGTTTGCTTAGTTTTACTCTAAATTTGCTCTGAAAAAAATCAAGTCCACCCAGATAGAAATGTGAAGACTACTACAGTTTTAATTTACCTCTGCCCAATAAAATATACTTTTATTTTTCAATAAGCTATATGTTATTTTCTCTGGCACATCTGTAGGGTTTGGATGAAGTCACAAGGAGCTAATTCTTCTTCAGCTACCAGGGGATTAAACTCTTCAATATTCACAAAATCATTACTTTAATTTTTCCTCAGAGGAGCTGGCCAAAAGCTTCGACATCTGACCACAAAATTTCAGCTATGATTTAATTTCCAACTTAAAACTTAATAGTGGTTTGGGAAAAAATGGTCCGAGACAGTGTAACGCAAATCAAATCCCTTTGGCACTCAAAAAGCAAGCAGCTTTGGCTGTAGAAGATACCACCACAAGTCTTAACCCTGTGGCTCATGTACTCAAATTCCAAGTTTCCAACCACCCTCACTGCGGGTAAAGTAACAGGAAGACAACGATTTAGCCACACCAGTTAGGAAGTAAATGCTGCACACAACATACTTTTGAAGGTAACTTCTCTCAGACTTAGAATATCCGCCTAATAACAAAACTACCGAAGGGCAATCTGCTGGTCAGCTACGGTACAGTAAGTTGCAAAAGAGCAAATTAAAATTATTAAGTTCCAAAATCACTTGAATCGAAAAAGAGCATGACCTGAAAGTGTTCACAAGCTGCAGTACAGCATCGAAGCAACAGCAGCAGACACTTGATAGCCTTCTACTAAAATTTCATCTAACAGTCGTGCTGAAGAACACTTGCAGTGTTGCCAACCTTTAAAACTACTTCAGATCTCATGGGTCTTGCAAAAATGCTTTTAAAAATCTCCAGAACCAGGCTTTAAATGACAAACTCGGTTTCTGCAGTTAATTGTTCTCTGCCTTTACATTTGCTGAGAAACCCCTAATACATGCCCTAATCGCTTTCCACATTTACTACCTAAAATGCAAATAAAAAGCAACACATTTTTTTTCTTTTTAAGACACCTCTGATTTCTTAAGTTAGTCATCTAATTTCTGGAGTCTACCTAGTTCTCTCTACAATATTTCTGATTAAATACTTATTATGCATCAGTATTGCCAATCTGGCATGAGTGCAACCAAGACCAAGCTACTGGTAGAAGGATGCAGTGCTTGCAGTTCTGGTCTCATCCACTAGATGTCTTGTACAGACTTCAACATCTGTCACATAGTGAGATCACCTCTTGATAACCACATTAGGCAGGTCTCTATTTTTAACCAAAATATATTAGAGTACAAAAAAGTTAACATTCAAAAGGTTTTGGGTTTTGTTTTTTGTTTTTTTTTTTTCTCAGAAGAAAACTTAAAGTTCAACACCCTTCCTGGCACAGTGCTTTTCATTTACCATGAGATAAAAGTTCAGCTTGTCTTTGAATACATTCATTTCCCCCAACTACCTTTAAATACATTGATACATACAGAGTATTTAATAGAGTTTAAAATAGAGTTTAGCAACAGTTTCCCAGATTTTCTCATATCTAAAGAGATAGGTGTTTTAAGGAAACACTGAGAAAAAAAGGTTTTAAATTAAGTATTGTGATAATCAATCAAGCTGAGAAGTATTACAAAATACATAGCTCTGGAAAATTAAGCATTTGCATTTACTTCCTGCAGAGCATTCTTTTTTACCATCTCAGGAAAACGATATTTGACATCCATGTTTTGAGATCAACTGCTTGCAGAACTTCCTTTCAAATAAAAAATTAAAAACAAACAAAACCACAAAAAAACAAAAACCAAACACAACCCCCCCCCTAAAACTTAGAAGTCAAAAGTTAGCTAAACTCCAGTAAGACTCCCAGCATGTCAACTGGGAGCATGTCAAGCTTTCCCTAGATCTCCCGCTGGAGCAATGCCAAGAACAAGGCAATAAGCAAGCTTAAAGTCTATCAGTGCTCCAGAGCCATTCTACCTGGTCTTCAAGCAAGAACATGTCAGATAGACTGCACTGATAGCTGAATGATAGCTACGCTTAGGATTAAGAAAAAAGACAAATATTCATAACATTGTTATCAGCAGCCTTATAAATTAACTGCATGGTTCTTCCAACCCAAAAGGATCACATCCACTTATTTTTTCAATTAGGAAAAAAAAAAAATTCCAGCATCCTTTAATGCAAACTTTTACACTCTGGCCATCTTTTACTCAAAATTGCCAAGCCACAGTGAGGAGGGCAAAATAGACTGGATTATCTGGGTTGACCTACAGAAGGCTGACATCCTTGTTTTGGGTAACACTCATGAGCCAGTCACAGGCTCAAGGACAAGTCGGCATACCACAGAAAAGACACATCTCTACTCTACTTCTTTCTCATACCTGTGCAGCAGTGGGTCTACATTTCCACTAAAGAAGCACAACTCAGAAGTTTAAGCAGCATAAGCATGTGAACAGCCATTCTCTGCCTCCACCAAGGAAAAGTTAGTGGACCAGATGGAAATCCCGGAAAGCCAGATCCTAGCTGCAAGCGAGCATCATTTCTCTTCAAACATGGGCTGTGCTATTTCGTCAGTTGACTGCATGAACAATAATCCAAAAGAAAAGGAGTCAAACTTCACCTAGTGCAGCTACTGCTTTGCTAACAAAAATATTTTTAGGAACCAAAAACTCATCTCCGCTTG